CAACTAAAAGTATTTACAAACACTTCAATAATAATAATAATAATATGTGCAAAATATACCATACTTTGCCCCAGAAAGACATAAGGCACCTACTGGGAGAAGAGAAGTTACAGTGCCAGTGACATTATATTTTATGGATATTGGGCTAAATTCACTAAGCTATAAAGCATGCCATGTGTACCACAACGATCGTTATTTTCAGCTCTCATTGGATGTCATTGCTGAAAGCAACAGTCATTTTGGCAAATAATTGTTATATCTTCATGCAGCAGGCCCTTGTGAATGAGTTTATTAAGGTCAATGCTTCTGCAAAATAAGCAGCCACAGGAGACAAAGTCAGCACTCTTCTGGACTGGGTTATAATTTCCATGCTCCCTATAGTGGCCGATAGCTGTTACTAAAATATAGGAGACCATAGGAGGATATGATGACGCAGAGTAAACATAGAGGGGACGCACAAGGCAGGAGGAGGCACAAAGCGAAAATCACTGGATGTGGTAGTACGGTAATTATGTAACTGTACTGCCAGTGGATGGCCGGTAGCAAAGGATTTTGAACAAACTCCAGGCTGCAATGTTTAGTTCTTACAATCCGACTGTCGGCTTTTAGATGGAAGTGTTTCGTGCCACTGTAATGCCACGCGATCACTTCCATACCCCCTCCTGAAAAATGCCAACCCCTCTCCCACCCGACCGCCCCCGCCATGTATCCTGGGCTTCACTGTCCCTTCCACAGACCCGGGACAGGCATAGCAGGTGTCAGGTGGAGCAGAGGGAGGCAAGGGAACATCTACTGTGAATGACCTGGATATGAGGAATTTATCAGCACTTCCAGGTTAATCGCTGTAGTTTGCGGTGGCTTTGGCTGTGCAAGAAGCTGATCAAGCGCGGTCTGTGCTTGATCAGCTTTATTGAGGTCCATAGGTGACATGAGTCTAATAGATGTTCCTTGTTGAGTCTGTGAAGCCCTGGCATGCATGGTGGGATGTATGGGATTTCTGAGCACACAAACCTCCAGGATCCTGGCCAGTTTCTTGCTATTTCTGAGCTCAGCGGAGGCCTTAAGGACACAGTCACAGCTGGCCCGGATTTCCTCTGTCTTCTCCTGCAGGGTGCTCTTGAATAGGAGACTTCGGAGGCGTATCCTATAGTCCGGGACCAACATCATCTGCAGGAAGGACACATTACATAGTGACCACAGAATCAAAGTACGCGCCACTTTAACAACTGCTACTAATAATAATAATACTAGGACACATCTGATCCTCCCATGACACTGGATTATTCATATAGGTTATTCAATTCATGGTTATTCAATGGTCATTGTCACCACAAAACAAAGTGACAGGAAATCCAAAATGTTACAGTTGTCACTAGAATAGGAGGTAAGAGGGAATCTTCCAATGAGTACAAATGTGCCAGAGCCAAGATCACTCATTGCACGGCGGGCCACTCTATATCTTTGGCATTGGTTAAGCTCCTGTGATCTGCTCTGAACTGAAGCCAAGAATGTAGAGTGGCGAGGTCTGTCATGCTATGAGTGATCTCGCCTCCTCCTTTTCTCGGTAACCTGTCAGATTTGGTAACATGTCGGGGAGGCACTCGAAAAGCATTACAACTGGTTGCAACCCTGGAAAGGGGAGGAGCCAAGATCCATGGTGGACCTAGCCAATATACATTCTTGGCATTAGGTAAAAAGGAATATCATCCTACCTAGCCAAACTTCACCCTACCTATCCCACGCATGTACAGGGCTACCTGTAGGGGTTGTTCTGTCCAGGATTCACTCGGACAATCCCGGGTTTTGAATGCTGTGTCTGGGTTTCATGGCAGCAGAAACCTGGTCACAAGATGTCAGGCAGACAGGGGCAACCAAAATTAAGATAGGGGCTACTGAGCCCCCCACTGAAAATAGTCTCAACTGTGATATGTACAAATGAATGGGCGTCACTAGCTACATATAAATAAGCCACGACTCATTCTCACAAAAAAATGTCAGTGCGTCGCTAGAGTGTTCATGTTTCGCTTGAAGAAAAGGTGGCAACCCTACATCCTGTGCTATCGAACCTAGCACAGACCAGCAGCATGTCTGCATGGATTCTGTACCTGTGCATGCACGCTGCAGGTCTCCGCCAGAGACCCATGATGTATCTTTGCATGCACATCATTAGGCAAACTTCCCTCTGGGATATATACATATACAGACATTCCTCGTTTAACGACCTACCTGTTTACCGACTGCTCGGACTTACGACCGGGGGTGTGTTTTCAGACTTACGACGGGATTCGGACTTGCGACCGCGCGGCGCGCAGTTCAGACGTAGGAGCATGAGCAGCATTGTGGCTTCTTCTACAGTACTGTACAGTGCGGTCTATGGTGACTTCTACTGCTACACTGCGACATTGATTCTATGCAGGAAAATCTACAGATTTCTGGGTGAGTACTATGCAGCATACTGTCTACAGTACAGTACTGTATGGATAGTACAGTACTGTATATTTGCAACACTACAGTACTGTATATGCATGGTGTGCCAGCCATTCCAGCCACCTTGCTGTTTCTCTGATGTGCAGCCCAGGTGGTACCTGTAGTGTGACAATGTACAGTACTGTACAATACTGTACTTCTTTTTCTTGAAGAGTAGTGTTGGGAGATCTGGGTACCTTATTCCATACTGTATTGTTTATTTTGTACCCCTTAGTACAAGATGTCATCAAAACAGAAGAGTTCACCAGGAAAAAGCAGCAAAAAACAAAGGAAAGCTATTGATCTTGACATGAAAGTGAAGATCATAAATGACTATGAAGCTGGTAAAAAAGTTAATGCAATAGCACAGGACGTTAATCTGGCACATTCAACCATTTCAACCATCCTGAAGGACAAAGACAGAGTGAAGGAGGCAGTGAAAACATCAACAGGTTTTAAAGCCATAATAACTAGGCAGCGGAAAGGCCTCATCCATGACATGGAAAAATTATTGGCGATCTGGTTTGATGATCAAATACAAAAAAGAATGCCAATGAGTCTTTCAATAATTCAAGCCTCAACTCAGTATCTTCAAGACTTTGAAGGTGCGTGAAGGTGAAGAGTAAACTGAAACTTTCAAAGCAAGTCATGTATGGTTTCAGAGGTTTTGTCGCAGATTTAACCTGCATAATCGGAGTGTCAGTGGTGAGGCGGTAAATGCAGATGTGGAAGCAGCAGCAACATTTCTTGACCAATTTGATAAAATCATAGAGAAAGGTGGCTACTGTCCAGAACAAATCTTCAATGTGGACGAAACCGGACTTTTTTGGAAGAAAATGACTGAAAGGTCCTACATACACAAAGAAGCTAAAACAATGCCTGGCTTCAAGGCTTTTAAGGACAGGGTCACATTGTTGTTGGGAGGAAATGTTACTGGGTTCAAGTTGAAGCCTTTACTCATCTATCGGTCTGAGAACCCACGTGCATTGAAGAACGTTAGTAAGCACACATTGCCCGTTTACTATCGAGCAAACAACAAGGCATGGATGACGCAAGCTTTATTTGAAGATTGGTTCAATAACTGCTTTACACCCTCGGTGAAGCATTACTGTCTGGAAAAGGGCGTTCCATTTAAAATCATCCTTCTGCTTGATAATGCTCCAGGCCACCCACAGCATCTTGATGATCTACACCCAGATGTAAAGGTAGTGTATCTGCCTAAAAACACAACTGCTATCCTTCAGCCAATGGACCAGGGGGCTATAGCTACATTCAAAGCATACTATTTGCGCACAACTTTTTCCAAAGCTGTAGCAACAACAGAAAACAATGAAGTAACCCTTCGTGATTTCTGGAAATCATACAACATTTTAGAGTGCATTAAGAACATTGCATCAGCTTGGGAAGGAGTGACAGAAAAGTGTATGCAAGGCATATGGAAAAAATGCCTAAAACGTTTTGTGCATACATCAGAAGCATTTGACAAAGATGAACATGTCAATCTTATAAACGAAACAACTGTGGAACTTGCTAACGAGCTTAATTTTGAGGTTGAACCGCAAGATATTAAAGAATTAGTGGAATATACTGAGGGAGAGCTAAGTAAGGAAGATTTAATAGAGTTGGAAGCACAGCAACACTTAGAAAAGGAGGAAGAAGAAGAGGAAAGAATTGAAGAAGTACCAAAGAACTTCACTGCAAAGGGATTAGCGGGTGTGTTCTCAAAAGTGAATGCAGCTATGTTAGAACTGGAAGCTATGGATCCGATTGTTGAACGGTTCACAAAAGTGGAACAGCAAATAAGTGAACTTTTACGTTGCTATTGTGAAATTTATGAAGCAAAAAAGAAAATGACAAAATAGACCACACTAACGCGATTTTTCTCGAAAACTACACCCAGGACCCCTATTACTAGTTCTTCCATTTCTACTTCATCATCTCCCGTGCCTTCTACATCTCCTGATCAGAATTCCGATGATGACACTGACGATACCTTTTTAGGATTCAAAGGCTGACAGGGCTATTCACTAAAGGGTGAAGAGTTTGGAGAAGGCAGGAAAAGTGAACAATCTAGGACAAAATAGCTGATTTGGAAAAATTCTCCAATTCAACTCACTTTCCAGTTCAGCTATGTTGTCCTAGATTGTTCACTTCTCCTGCCTTCTCCAAACTCTTCACCCTTTTGTGAATAACCCTCTTAAATGTTAGCTTGAATTTTGTTTTTTTGTTACAATTCTGTACAACTTGTTTAGTACAGTACAGTGTGGTACCATGTTAGCCATCGATAAATGCAAGACATATGAAACCCTGTAATCCCCTTAATTTAACTGGAGTTAAACTGGAGTTGTCAAACATGCAAGCCCCCAGGATCTGAGTAATCCCAAGTGCTTGCATCCCCAACAACTCCAGCCAGGCAACAAAGGGTTCCACAAAATGTCTTTCACACATTGTTTACCTGTTTAGTGAGCCTTAATGTCTTTTTTTTTTAGTTAAACTGCAGTTGTCCTGCGACCGATTCGTTTAACGACCTAGTCGTAGGAACGGAACTCGGTCGCTAAACGAGGAATGCTTGTATATAACACTCTACATACTAGAGGCTGAACAGGCTGGTATTGATCATTTCCTTTTGTATATTCTGTATCTACTCTGCTTTGATTTGAACTTCTGCCTCCTTTCCATACCTGCAAAGCAAACTGATCAGGCTCACTGAGCTTGCTGGGGCTTCCGGTGTAGGCCTGAAACATTTTCTTCTCCTCCTCATCCGGTGCGTAGAGCAGCAGCTGTTTGACGTGTGAGGGCTCCAGCCTCTCGTTCTCCATGGTCATCAGGATGTGGCGCAATTCCTGGTGCGTGAGCTTCAAGTGCGCTATCAGGATAGCTGCAAGAGAACACAGTGTTCCACTTCTGTAACTATTACTTATCTAGAGTGCTCTTTGATAGCAATTCGGGCCAGTTTGCTGCATGCCAGTAAGCAGCAATATTTTTAATCACCAAACCCAATTCAATCGAGTGCAATGGTCCAAAAGACAACTTACCAACTTACTCCCAGCCGTCAGATTGAGCAGTGGGTGCCCCGTACAGGAAAGCTGTACTTAACCTGGTGCAATCAAACAGGGATCCTACTTTTAACTAACTGGGGCTTATAGGGAAAGAGTCCCAACCGCCCGTGACTTCAGTGACAGAATATAGAAATAGTGTATAGTACATCAGGGGTAGGTAACCTGTGCACTCCAGCTGTTGGGGAACTACAAGTTCTATGATGCATTGGAAGACTATGATAGACACAGGCATGACTCTCAGAGGCAGAAGTATGATAGCATTTGTAGTTTCACCTCAACTAGAGTGCTGAGGTTTCGTAACCCTGGTATAGTTTGTCTATATTAGGACAGGGATGGTTAGAGATTCTCGTCCCGGTAGCCTTCATAGCAGGAACCTCTTGCACCATAGGTGTCCCGTTGGAGGGACAGAGCCACCCTGGCCCACAGTAAAGTGTTTAACCAGGTCACACTTATACCATGAAAATTTGATGTTTTACCTTTCATCTCATGTTGACATATGAACATATAAAAGTTCCAGGGACCTTTATAGAATCAAAAGGTGGTTTGGTAAGGGGAGATACTTCCAAACACTCATCTAACTTCCAGTCCAGTAACCCATTGCAGGGCCCTCTTTACCCAAAAGTGGGAGATACCCCAGACAAGTCTACTCAGCAATATGCCATTGCAGAGCCCTCTTTACATAATAGTGGTAGATACCCCAGTCAAGTCTACTCAGCAATACACCATTGCAGGGTCCTCTTTACTCAAAAGTGGTAGATACCCCAGACCAATCTACTCAGCAATATCCCATTGCAGGGCCCTCTTTACTCAAAAGTGGTAGATACACCAGACCAATCTACTCAGCAATATCCCATTGCAGGGCCCTCTTTACTCAAAAGTGGTAGATACCCCAGACAATTCTACTCAGCAATATCCCATTGCAGGGCCCTCTTTACTCAAAAGTGGTAGATACCCCAGACCAATCTACTCAGCAATATCCCATTGCAGGGCCCTCTTTACTCAAAAGTGGTAGATAGCCCAGACCAATCTACTCAGCAATATCCCATTGCAGGGCCCTCTTTACTCAAAAGTGGTAGATAGCCCAGACCAATCTACTCAGCAATATCCCATTGCAGGGCCCTCTTTACTCAAAAGTGGTAGATACCCCAGACAATTCTACTCAGCAATACGCCATGGCAGGGCCCTCTTTACTCAAAAGTGGTAGATACCCCAGACCAATCTACTCAGCAATACGCCATGGCAGGGCCCTCTTTACTCAAAAGTGGTAGATAGCCCAGACCAATCTACTCAGCAATATCCTATTGCAGGGCCCTTTTAGTTCTTCAGAAGAACAGTAATACTGGAAATTAAAGTGCAACTGAAGCCAAAACATTTTTTATAGTTTTGGATAGAGTGGAGGAGAATTAGAACCCCTTTCAGGTTTTTATTGCTGTCCCCATTAGGGAGATTAATTCTCTTATTTTTCCTGGTGACCACTATAACCGAAGGTGAAAAGAAATCACACATTTTGGGTTGTCACCAGAAAAGGAATACACGGGAAGTCATCCAGTGAGGACACTGTTGACCACCAGGGATTTTCCTCACTTTAGAGGGATTTATCTCATACCCTGTTGTGGCTATCAGACAGGAAGTGAAGGAAAATCTCCGCAATGGGACATATATGGCAAAAAAAAAAAAGCTGACGCGTGTTATAACCCTCCCTTACGATATCAAGAACTAAAAAAAAGTTTTGGCTTCGGTTTCATTTTAAAGGAACCGTACGATACGGTATGAGAAAGATGCATACATCTCTTTATATGCAAAGAAAAAACATGCATAAAACAATTGTGTAGCATTCCTAACGCTTTGAAATATCAAGCCACGCCCATAGATATGTGGGGACATGCCCCCTGCAAGCCACACCTCCTCTAAAGATCAACAGATATTACAGGGACAGTATGGACATCCAATCATTTGCTACTGCAAGTTTAACCTCGAAGCAGTGAACGGCTTGTTGTACCTGTGTTATAGGCCTTCTTGTGTGACAATATTTCTACAGCACCTTTGTTTTTCAAGGATTCTGGCACCGCCGGAAGAACTAAAAAAGAGAAAAAGAGAGATTGTTCTAAAAAGACAAACTTCCAGAACCCGTAGGAAACACTGAACACGTATTGCAGAGAATTCTTTATTTCTGTGTTTCTTCTGATGATGAAAAACTATAAGTATCTTCATTTCCTTTCAGATAACAAAAAATAAAACATATACCAAAATATATTGGAGGATTACATACTGTTGGCTTGAGATAGTGTACAGCTCAGTTAAAGCTGAACTCCGGAATCAGCAAATATTGTCTAAGTGCAAGAGACATCTTGGTGAGCTTTGTGTATTTCTTCCAGATCTGTGTGAGACTTGGAGCTTCCTGTAATAAAGACCTATCACTGATGCTCTCTCCCCATGTGCAGGGTGACTGGTCTTGTCTCCGCCCCCTCCTGTAATAAACACCGGTCACTGCTGCGCTCTCTTCTTGTGCAGGGTGACTGGTCTGGTCTGACGTGACCTGTGCATGGATCCCCTTCTGATCAGACCATGTGAAAGGGGCCTAATGCTTACAGGTTGCAGGCCCGTGACTGGACATTGGAAGAAGAAGCAGCAGATTGATGAGCTCATCTCCCTGTCACTCAACTCTCTCCTCCTATCAACATACTCCTTGTTAGCACATGAGCAGAGCAGACTGGCTCCTTTTCCTTATCCCACTCCTTCAAAGCTCCAAGAAATTGCACACTGACTTTTATCCCAGAAGCAGCAGGTAGAGAGCTGTGTTCCTTATTGACAGGAGTGGTGATGAGGAGCGGTATAAGCCAATTAGTAAAGAATTCCATTAGCCCACCTGGGAAATGTGATTCTAGTGCAGATAAATATTTAAGTAGCTTTAGTAAGTAAGGTAGGGACGGATATTAGAGACCACTTTCAGATGAAAGCATTCTAATGGCTAAAAAAAGATGAAGCATAAAGAGTCATGGCACAGGATTGTTCACGATTGTGAAAAGTTGCGCAATACATTTCAAAGGCAAGCTTTCAGGTCATATCACATGGGCAGGAGAAGTGACCGTTCGTTTGGATGTGCAGAATTGTGGAACTTCGGCCACTTCCTGCTGACTCTTCTGATTTGTTGATTGTCCACTACAGGACACAGGCAGATTCTGAGATGACTGGATAATATGCAGGTATCACCAGGTGACTGGACACTAGATAGAGCTGTGATGACCTCATATAAGCCCTCCCACCACCAGGAATCCTCAGTTTTCGGCTAGTGTCCTTTCTACTAATAGAGATAAGTGTAGTTTTAATTCCTGACCATATTGATTCTATCAAATCAAGCTGGCGTGGCAATCTCAAAGCTTCCAGATCGGCACCCTACAGCGAGAGCTTGGGGGGCGGGGGG